GATTTTATAAAAACACTAATTTATTATGCTTCATAAAAATTTAAACGTATATTACAATCTGCAAACACAAAACTGAAACATTCTAAGGGAACATTCTCACCTGCATTTTTCTTATGCTTCAGATGGTTAAATTCGTTTTGCGGTAAGACGATACTTCCACCTACTTTCTCAACAATCCATCCACCGTTACTTACTTGGTGCTCAATGAACTTGTCTAGAGACGCACCATCCATGTTAACAGCCTATGCAAAGTGTTCATAAGTAATGAGCAAGGGCATTTACCAACAAGCAAATGTTAACATAATAGATGACCATGATGTGGGACGTTCGTAACAGAAATGATACAAAAGCACAACCCTGCATTAAGCTAAGAAGGTGACTTGCATATGCTTGGATTGATGTTTGCATACCTCAAGGTAGTGCGAGAGAACAATAAGTGCCTTGAACTGCTCCTCCATTTGCTGAAAACACAATTCACACAAGTGCATCTATTAATTCTCACAAATCCAAAACGTTGACACTCCAGCTTCAACATGAATCCCTCAATATAAAGACTAAGCTAACTGAAATAACTCTAAGCATCACAATCATTTGAGTACTAGTGATATCTCTGAATTGGTGATGAGTCAATTCATAAACACAAGGAAGCAAACAATTATAAAGTAAAAGCGAAAGAACAATACCACTCTTTCGGAAATCAAGAAGAGGCAAAGGCTGAAATCTGGAGTTGGCATAGCCATAAGAGCCTTCAAAACAAGAGAAACAACAATTAGAGAGTAATTCATAAGCCAACAAGTATTCATACTTTCAGGCTCAAACTGCATAAAAGCAAAAACACCAGTAAAACGATATGAAACACTAAAATCTTCTGGACAGGTTTGATTATGAACAGACCATATTCTGAACAACTAGAGTACCTGATAGAGCCGAAGCAAGCATAGATTTGCCTCCACACTATACGTTTGCGATGTAACCTGAAAGTCATAACGAAACCAACAACAATCAACTTCGCGTGGAAGCTAATTTACATTCAACTGCAGAAACTTCGAACAATTTGATAAAAACGAAGGAGAAAATTATAGAACTAGTTCGAAATCAAAATCCACCGATAATCAAAACCCACAAAATTTTCGGGAAAATCAGAAAGGAACCTGCTCGTTAACGTAGTTTTCGAGATCAGGCAAGATCTCAGAGTTGAAAGGATTGACGGCGACGAGTTGCTCAACGGTGTCGCCTTCGCTCTCGCCGGCTGCGAGAGAAAGAAAAATCGACAAGACGATTCTTCGGATCTGC